GGGGGGGGGGGGGGGGGGGGGGGGGGGGGGGGCATAGAAGATCCGAAGTGGGCTCTGCACGGACAGCAGCGAGCTCGATGCAGGGCTCGAACTCCCGAACCGTGAGGTCATGACCTATGCCCAAGTCAGACGCTCGACCGACTGAGCCACCCAGGTGTCCCCTGGGTGTCTGGTTCTATTCAGAGCTAGCTGGGTCTCCCCTTGGTCAAAGCTGAGGTCTCTGCACTCATTCTATTTTATAAAATTCTTCTATCTCCTTCCATGTCTGAGGACAAGTATTTTCTCTGACCAGCTTTGGCATTGCGGAAGTCTTCTCTGCAATCCTTGATGATCCTCCTCGATTAAAGGCGCATAAGAAAAGGCAGGGGCCCCTTTCATATCGGGAGATCTCACAATATCATCCTCTAAAGAATGGTTTCACCTTGGACAAATTCCTTAACTTCTCCAACCTTCTGTTTCCTCATGACGCACAGATGATAACAGAAAGGCTATTGATACTCACAATTAATATGGCCAGTCATAGTTCCCTGCCCATATTCAAGAGCAGAAACGTGGAGGTAAAGTGGCAGGAGAAGGGAACTCTCCAGAACCCAGGGCCCTTTGGGGCCCTCATATCAGTTCCTGGCAGAGAGTCTCCTAAGGTCCCAGGGCCCTGAAGGACGCCCCCCCCCCCCACCAGTACCTGCCCGCCCCGGGCCGGCTCAGCTGGGAACTCACTAGAAGCAAGGACCGTCCTCAGACTCCCTGTGCCCCCCCGCCAGCTGCATGAGAAGTTTGACCGGCTGAAGAAGCTACACCAGGACGAGAAGAAGAAACTGGAGGATAAGAAGAAATCTCTGGACGATGAAGTGAATGCCTTCAAACAGAGAAAGACGGCGGCTGAGCTGCTCCAGTCGCAGGGCTCCCAGGCCGGAGGCTCCCAGACGCTGAAAAGGGACAAAGAGAAGAAAAAGTAAGTGCTAGGCTGCTCTGGGCTTCTGGCTTCTTTCTCCTCCTGCTCCTCCCCCCTCAGTGCAGGGCCTGGAGACAGATGGGCCTGAGTGCCGGTGGCCCGAGGTGAGCCGTGGGCTGACAGATGCACTTGGGGACCCAGAACTGGTCTCAGTGTCCCCTGAGTTTGGGTGACTTGAGAGTAGGGGATGGCTGACGTCCCAGAGGCCCGGCACCTGTGCTCGGCCGCTTAGGAAAGCCCTGCAAAGCTCTAGGTAGGGGGAGAGGGAGGGACAGGAGAGGAGAGGCAACCGGAATGTGGGAGGGGACAAAGAAGAAAGAAGGAAATCAAAAGAGCTCTAGAGTTGTAAGAAAGAGATGGATGAAAGGAAGGGTAGATAGAGGGTCGGGGGGGAGAGAGAGCGCCTTGGCGGAGCCTCTGGGCACCCCCTTTCTCCCCAGAGGTTGGCGCCGATCTGGCTCACGGGCCGGCCTGCTCATCCTGTGTCCGAGGTGTTCACCTCCCCATGCCTGTAGCCACCCGCCCCCCCCCC